TGTCTCCGTGTCATTCCTTCTTCGCCAACTCTGTCCACACCTTTGGGGACCCCTGGACCTGCTGGGGTTGGACCCCAGCAATTAGGTTTGGAAATTCATCCATCAAAAGAAAGGCTGTTCCTTGTCATTTCTGCCTACAACTAACCCTGCCCACCAAGGTCTGGATCTCACCATTCATACCGCTCTGAGGAAAAGGTGTTGAGTTTTGGTTCTCCTTTCTCCTTTTTCTTTGGCACTTTCCTTAACCCATCATAGCTTTGCTATGACCCTTTCCTTAGCACGTAATATGGCAAGCCTGTTAAGACTCTCAATATTGTCTCCTTTCCTTTACAGTAAAAATTCTGCCAAGAGCTGTCAATATTTGTTGTCATTATTTCATTTTCCAATGCTTCCTTAACCAACTATAATCTGGAATCTTGCGCCCATTAATCTACTAGAACTAAGCCTAAATGACAAATTCTTAGTCACTTTTTACTGTTATTATCTTGTGACTTCTGTGACATTTAATTCTACTCATTCTTCTTCTCCTCTTTCTTCCTACTGTCCACCTCCTTTCAGCACACCCATCTGGCTTGGTAACATCTCCTAGAGTTACACAAACTATCAGGATGAGTTCATCTACAAAAGCAGGTTTTAAACTTTTGGATCTCAGGGCTCCTCTACACACTCTTAAAAGCTATTGAGGACCCCAAAGGGCTTTTATTTATGTGGTTTATAACTATCAATAGTTATCATTTTAGAATTTAAAACTAAAAAGCATTTAAATGCCAGAATACACAAGTGCAGAATCCACAAATTGTCAGTGATGATATCATGTATCATACAGCCTCTGGAAATTTTCACTGTAAGCTCAGGAGAAAATTAAAGTTTTACAAAGCCAAATATGTCTTAGCACTGTTATAAAAACTGACCTTGTGAGTCCCCTGGAAGAGTCTCAGGGACCCCCAGGAATCCTCAGACCACCCAATCATTTCACACCTATGTAGAAACTCCTAAGTCTTTCTCTCTAGCCTGACCCCTTTCTTTCCTGAGTTCTCACCTAAAGTTATGTACCTTTAAAAAATCCTAGGCTCTTCCCTTTCCTTCTTTACCCTCATTCAATATTCATCAAACTACTGATTCTACTCTTAAAATCTAGTGGAATTTGAGAACTTGTTAGAGAAATGCAACCCCCACCCCAGATCTATAGACATAAGAACCCTCGGTAATTCACTTGCACATTAACCTCTGAGAGGCATGAGCTGGGTGGTGATAGCATCAACAACCAAAGTGAGAGAATCTGAAGGAGAAGAACATTCAAAGGCAAACTTAAGAACTCTAAATTAGAACTCCTCCCACTTGAAGTTTTTCCTCCTAATAGTAAACCATGGAGGTTTGGAGTTTTGTAAAGGCAAAGTATTCCAACTGAGGTTTTGCTTCCTTCCAATCCTATCCCCTCCACATTGCCACCTGGAGAGGGCTCCTTCATCTCCACTTTGTCTTTTTCCTCCCTGCTTCAAGGACTTTCCATCACCCAGATAAAAGCCCAAATTCCTTATTATGAAATAAACGGCCTTTCAAACCCTGACCCCTGCCTACCTTCCACCCTTCTTGCACATCCTCCCTATACCAGAAGTTTGCAAACAATTTGAGTCACCTCTGCAGCATGGTATTTTTTCTAAGCTCCTCAGGGGATCCAGCTGGGGTTGAGAATCACTGCCCTATGCCATGAACAAAACTATCTGCCAAACTTCCATGCAAAAGCACGGAAGTCTCTCTACTGCCTTCTCACATTTTGCCTTTAACCTCTGGAATGAATTCACAGCCTTTCCTAACAACTATCATCTCTTCTTTGAAGATCTCTCTTCTCTTTCCCCTCCTCTTCTCCCTTGCAGGCAGGTGGGATTATGGGTTTCTTACTCTTTGACCCTATAGCACTTCGTGCTTACATCAATTACAACAGCCCACACTGTTTATAAAGCAATCTGTCCTCTTGTGAAGGCAGAGATAATACACTATTCATCTTTATATTCTCTGTGCTTGGCACAGAGGTTAGAAGATAACAGATAATAAATGCTCAATGAAAATACAGTAAATTTTTGAATAGACCTAGATTTATGTATAACAAAGCAAAACAAGATCAACACCTTCCTACCTACTGGGTGATTTCATTAACAAAAGGAAAACCTTTTTTGGTCTATAATTCTACATTTAGAAATAAAAGGCTAATTCATATATGAAGTGATTCATATATTAACTGAAATGAAAATTTTCAGTTGAAGTAGATTCAATTACCCTAATAGCAAATATCAGAAGCTTTTCAGTTTTAATAGTAAAAGGATAGAAGAAAATAGGTTTCTGAGTATCTGAAGAGAGTAGGGAAAACTAAGAATCTTCATAAATACTAAAAGGGACTCAATAGATAATGTCTAATTGATGAAACAAAATAGCAAGATATGCACATTATTTACATTATAAAACGTAGAAATAAGTATCAGGAAGAAAAGCTAAAAAACAGAATGTGGGGTGTGGAAAGGGTGGGTAGCCAAAGTAGAGTCCTTCCTGTCTGGCCATGAGGGAAGGAGATGGGGGTGCAGAGGGCCAGAGGTCTTCAGCCTTCCTGTCTGCCCCAGGCCAAGTCTCTACAGTGGATGGAGTCTCTTGGTCAAAGCCCTGCCCACTTATATGAAGATCACAGTTGCCCTTTCTTTTAGGGAAGAGGCCTGGCAGAGGGAGCCCATGCAAAATGTTCCATTTTTAAAAATTAAATCTGATTGAATCTGTACTTTTATCATTAAAAAATAATAATAAATAAATATTTTAGCAGTATTTGTTCATAAAAACAAAAACTATTATTTTTTAAAAAGTAATGATCAGGGAATGGATTACCAAAAGAATAACATCAGAAGACGATGGAATACTACATAAACTCTACTACTTACTGGGAAAAAAAGTTCTTCTGCAATTTAATGTTTACTCCCAACAACTTAACTTAATGGCCTATGAATATCTGTATCTTGATTTATATGAAATTTTACCCAAGGGAATTCATTAATTAAGGTATGTAGTATAGAAATAAAACCTGGGAATCATTTTCCAGATATGTAGCTTCTTACAATGGAAAGACAAAAACAACAAATTTTTTTGCTTCTTTAAATCTTAAGGAAAATGTATAATCTGTAGTCATTTCTAAAATATTGCGCCACCTGACTTAATCATTAATCTTCTAAAACTTCCAGATAAAGAACACAGAACAGCAAAAGTCAAAAGAGTTTTAAGATTTTCTATTGCTGTCCCTACTGTCAAAATTTCTATATAAATAAAGCTCAGTATATTCAATGTTGAACCAAATCCTATTTCACTGCAAATGCCACTATGGTCTTTAAAAAACAATAACAAATCTATATTTTAAATTAAAAATATAGCCAAAAGTGATCCTTGGAATTCTTTAAAGAGTGGTATTTTCTTATAACTGATTCTTTTGAAGGAATTAAATACTGCATCTATAAAGAACATAGAAATATTATTTTTTTAGGTGATCTAACTTTTTACTATGTTTTGCTATTTAAAAAATAAAAAATAAAGAACACCAGATTTGGTGAATGGAAAAGGGAAATATCTAAAATTATTTTACTGTTCTTTATAACATAAAAGCCTGTGAAAGAGGAGGCATGTGAAATTACTAAATAGACTAAAATCTGGAAATGTCAAGAAATATTTCAAAGTCCAGGAAATATAAAGTGAAAACATTCTTGATATAACTTTTGAAAAACTGTACTTTTGTCTAGATCTAAACCTACTATTTTTAAAGGCTCAGTATAAGAGTGTTAATTAAAAAAAACCACAAAACTGAACTGTGACAATCTGGTGCTACAGGGGCTACTAACGCTTACCTCAAGGGAACCTACTGCAGATAAAGTCCCGTCACTTGCACAGTCCTTTCAGCTGCCTGCCAGTTGTCTCTGTGGAAGGGAAAGCCTGATGAGTGAGAGCCCTATGCCACACTCCTTTGGAGTGTCAGGGTGCCTGCACAGAACTGCACACAACTGTCTACCTAGAGATTCCTAGATGCTTTCCATAACACAGGGCTTAAAAAGAGGCCACCTTTGGTATTGCCTTTCCACTGAACACCAAAACTGAATAGCTAAGAGTTTCTGAGTGTTAACAACTTTTTGGTATTAACAAGGTGATATATCTACACTAATCCAAATAGAAAAAAAGACTAAAATGGATCAAATAGAAATAAGTTAACATCGACAGGGAAAACACACACAGACACACACATACAAATACACTGAAAAGTAAGTAACAGAATTCTGTAATCTGAGAAGAGACAGTATTATAGGCTATAGCCACAAAAACTAAAGTTGCAGCATCAACAAGTAAATGCTAAAACTCAAAGCAATTCCTGTCTATACATTTTTAAAAGATGCCATCAAGTATATCATGCTTAATGTGAACTATCCCATGGATTGAAATGACTACTTACAAAATCCAATGTATTTTCTCAGTGGGGTCAGTAAGTGGGTGGGAGGAGAGGACATTTTTCAGATATTTTTAAGTAAGAAAAGGGAAAACCAAGAGCATGAAATTCCAAAAGAAATTTTAAAAAGAGGGGAAAAAAAGCCCTTATATCTGTATCTTAGAAAGTAAACAAACCCTTACTCAGAGCCAAACTAAGAGGAAAGTATAATAAGAAATAGAAAACTGTGAAGCAATGTATTTCAAAAACCACCCTCAACTACTAAAATTATGAATGGCTAGTAACTTGTCTTCCATTAAGAACACCTATACCACAAGTTCAGCTCCATAAACAAAGAAACTATATTTTCTTTCTAATGACAAATACAGTCTTCAGTCTGAATGCTGTGCTTCATAAGGCAGAGTAAAATGCTCCTACAAAAATTTAAAAAGCATTAATATTTAGCATAAGAACTGAAGAAAAAAACCTATTTTATTTTTTAAAAAGGTGATTCCAACTTTGACTTTAATAGTACCATATTTAAAATGAAGTTACTTACCTCTGATTCTTTGTCACTTAAAGATCCCAAGCTTCCAAAACTGTGATTAGAGCTTTCATTATTTGTTGAAGCCTGTTAAAAGATTTTTAAAAAGGTAAAACTTAGGAGTAATTTTACACAAATACTATACACAAATACTATATCTTCATAAATTAAAATAAAGTATGATTCCTTTAAACAAGGAAGTCAAATTAAGTAAAATATAAGAAATACCAACCTCTTAACACTATAAATATCTTGGGAAGTTTTACCAAGTCAATAAAGTTCTGCTGTATTTTAGGGACGGACTCATTACTTGAGTTTTTAGAATACCAAATTCAGGAGCAAAGGAAATGTGCTCTTGTTAGATAACAAGATCCCTAAAACTACTATTCAACATATAAAATCTAATGCTTCCTTAACTAAAGTATTATTTGTGTTCCTTACTTCTCTTCACAATCTTACCAAATTCCATCATATCCCATCCACGCCCATTTGCCTCTTCATATTAACAAACTAGACAATCTTTGGTTGGTTTGTTTTCGCTTAGTGTTTTAAGATTTTTTTTTTATCATTTTGACCATTTTAATTGCTTCACTCAAGAATTTCACCATTTCCTTTACAATATTTTAAATTGTGACAAACAGAAATGTTATTATTTTGCGGATGATGCTTGCTATGTTTCCAATATGTTTTATGCTTATTGTTTGGACCAACAATACATTAAAGCAATGTCTTACAGGGATGATTAGACCAGGGGATGACAGGCATGCCAATGATGATGCATGAATAAACTTCATGTGGAAGCAGGTATCCTTATTTCCCTTCAATTTGTAAGAGTAGCTGCTAGTCCTACCATTAAAAGGTTGCAAGTTTGACTACTGTTCAACTACTTTCAAAACTGGTGACTCAGAGCTATTTCATACATGTTCAGTACTATGCTGGACACTATAAAGCCAATTTTCAACACAAACAACATGCAAACTAATTAAGATTCAAACACTATTTAGAGGAAGTTAAAATCTAATTAGAGCAAGATGATCAAACTTCAAACAAAGAACACTGTAAACAGCAATTAAGAAGTGATAAACTATAAAGATTCAGGGACAATGGAGGCGGTGACAATGTTTTTCATTATCCCTAAGTCTCCACATAAAAATACAGTATAAACCCCAAACTCACACATAACATTTACAACAAAACTGGCTCACTAGAAATCTCCCCAAAATAGCAGATGGGAACAGATTACCGACAACCACAGCACCTGCATGGTATGAGAGGAAGCAAAAGGAAACAGGGTGTGGAACAGATTTGACAACAGAGACTCCCAAAACAGCAAATGCAACTGACCACTAAGGCAGTTTGAGTACAGAAGCTGTATCTGGAAGGGTTTCTGCCCTTTCCAATAGTGACTAAGTGCAAGGGGTCCATGAACTCTGAAGAAGTTAGAGCAATTTAGTCCTATGAACTCTTAAAACTAATCCCTCACTAAGGGTGTCACAGTAAGTATAAACTACTGGGTGTGAAAACAAAACTAAGCCCAACAGGTACAATGAAGATACAGAAAAAGAATATAAAAATAACAAGTGGGGAAGGAAGCAAAGCTTAGAAATCTCAGGAATTACTTTTGAAGAGTGCCCAAAAACAGCAGCAGAGGGAGCTCTATAAGAAAAGTCATTCTAAACCAAAACAAAAGCAAACAAAAAAGGTAAATAAACAACAGAAAATGATGTAGGTCATCCCATGAAGTTATTATAAGAAAAAAGACAGTAAGATATAGAATACTGTCCTGATAATAAAAGCATACTAGAAACATACACATTTCACAAAATAGGTGAAAACTAACCTAATATTTCAAAATGAGCTAAAAGACATTACTATAATGACTCAAGACATGAAAGAACATAAATCAGATTTCAAAAAAAAAAAAAAACCCTCAGAAATAAGGTAACAGAACCTAGGAAAGCTTTAGAAATTGGGAAAAAATGGGTTCAATAATGAAGATTAAGCCTGAATGAAACCAAGAGAAAATAAATACAACAGATAATGATTTAAGAGAACTAGAAGGTAAAAAGGAAGAACACTTTTGAAATCAAAAGAAATGAAGAGATAAAAAGAATGAGAGAAAGCAACAACTACTGAAGCAACAAAGATCTAACATTCAGGTAACAGAAGTCTTTAAAGAGCACTACCAGAAGAAAACAAATAGTAGAACTGTAGTTCAGGAAATCCTCTTTGAAAAATTTTTAAAAATTGAAACTACTGCCTGAAAGTATACAATATGCACCTCAGAATATTTGATTTTTCAAAGGCAGCACTTTATGCCAGAAGAAAATGAAGTAACATATTAAGATATTCAAAGAAATGTGAATAAAGTGTTCTATATCCAGTAAAATTGATTTTTAACATATAGAAGGCATAGACTTATCAAAATGCCAGAAATCAGGAAATAATGCTCTCTTGAGCTTTCCAAAAGAATCCAGACAACTTCAGATCACCAAAATGAAGATTCACTGTAAGAACTGATAAAATCAATATTACTTATTGATAAAGTTAAATAAAAGATATAAGGCCGAAACTATGAAATTTAATGGCTAATGCATGCAAAGTTATTAATAGTACAATATTTTAAAATTGGGGGATGGAATTTTATGGGAAGCACAAGTGAAAAAACTTTGAATTGTTTTCAGTAACCACTGTGGCCATTGTGATAGTACAAGTGTAGTTGCTTTGAGGTTGCCGTGTGTATAGGAAAAAAAATAAATATTTATGTGATATTCTAATTCTATCATCTGGTTTACATCCTTAAGAACTATAATTCTTGATATAGAAGTAAAATGATGTGCTATAAATAAAAACCTTGTAGTTCTGATTTGAATTGGAAGTATCAATATAAATTCATGAGATATTTTTACCTTTTAAAGCAATTTTTAAAAATACAGATTCTGCCACAGGGAGTAACAGAATTCCTTATATCAGACCGATGTTCCCATAGATAACCATAAATTCTGGAAAAATATATAAAAGACAACTATCTGAAAGCACGTGAGCAACCAAGAGTAGACAGAATCTGGATAGGAGACATTTGGAAGAAGGGAATAGACTAGGTGCGTTTCCTGTATTTACAGTTTTTGCTGTAAAGCCCCTAGTGCAGCGGTTCTCAACCTGTGGGTCGCGACCCCTTTGGGGGTCCAACGACCCTTTCACAGGAGTCGCCTAAGACCATTGGAAAACACATATATAATTACATATTGTTTTTGTGATTAATCACTGTGCTTTAATTATGTTCAATTTGTAACAATGAAACTGGGGGTCACCACACCATGAGGAACTGTGTTAAAGGGTCGCGGCATTAGGAAGGTTGAGAACCACTGCCCTAGTGTGAACTGCAGAGCAGCTGAAACTTGGATCATCACAGGCAATCTTACTGGCTTGAAAAACCAGGATGAAGCTACCACAGCAGCTAGAAAATAAAGAACCAAAGACAGAGTTGCAAATTCTGCATATTGTTTCTATCCAAGTCTCTAGCAGCTGGTCACCGATCTACACAAGAGTGGAACAGACTCTAAGCAGTCCAGATAAGGCTAAAACAACTGAACAGAAATGTTAGCTGCCATCCCCTATAGGGAGACATAGTTTAGATTTCAGTTGAGCCAAGTTAATTCTTTCCTAATACAAAAATACCACCAAAAAAATTAATATTCAACAGAACACTAAACCAAATCCCAAAGTCACTCTAATGTATCATTCACAGTGTGCATGATATAAACAAAATTTCTGAACTTATGAAGAAACTAGTGGCCCGGTGCACGAAATTCGTGCACATTAAAAGGGAATTAATTAGGGGAAATATTTTAATATTGCTATTTGCCCTTTCTCTATAATAGAAGTGTGAGAGATGAAAGGAAATTAGTAAAATGTATATGAAAACTATATTTATTAATAAATAAACAGTAACAAAAAGATATAACAACAGAGGCATGATATAACAAAAACATGATACGAAAACAAAAACATGATATAAAAACAACAGTGATGCAAACAATGACTGATAAAGTGATTAAACTTATTCTAATATCTCCCTGTACACCACATTAGGAGTGAAAACACTTTCAGAGTGCTTGACCAATTTCCCTTGTGCTGAAGTATTTAGAACTTTAACGTCACATGCTCTTCGAACTCGAGAGAAAGCAACGTGCAACTGACCATGTGCAAAAACGGGTTCAGGTAGGAATATGCCTACTCTGTCTAGAGTTTGTCCTTGTAATTTATTAATAGTCATCACAAATGCTGGCATCACGGGAAACTGTTGTTGAATCAATTTAAATGGGAGGCCAGTGTCAGATGGGGACAAATCAATTCTTGGAATCAGAACAACCTCTCCCTCTGCAGATCCTGTTAATACTTCAGCTTCGATAATGTTAGGTTGTAATCTTTTGATAATAAATATGGTACCATTATAAAAACCCCATTTACTATTGAGATTTCTTAATAGCATGGTGCTTGCACCCACTTTCAATTTTAATTTATGACATGGCATTCCCGAAGGAGTAATACTATTAAGAAATTCAATGGGAAAATTTCAGCATCATCTGTTGAATCAATGGAATCATTACTCAAATATTTATGAAAATCTCCATCGAGTATATCCAAAATTTCTTCATTTAATTTTTGAATGTGCTCATTTTTTGGACAAAGAATTGCACTTTTAGATATATTTTTAATATTATTCATAGATATAGTATTTCCCAAGGTAGCTTCAATAATAGATCCAGCCCTAGCCGGCTTGGCTCAGTGGATAGAGCGTCGGCCTGTGGACTGAAGGGTCCCAGGTTCGATTCTGGCCAAGGGCACATGCCTGGGTTGCGGGCTCAATCCCCAGTATGGGGTGTGCAGGAGGCAGCCAATCAATGATTCTCTCTCATCATTGATGTTTCTATCTCTCTCCTCCCTTCCTCTCTGAAATCAATAAAGAAATATGTATTTTTTTAAAATGATAGATCCATTACAAATCACAGGGGATTTCAATAATATCCGTTCCTAAATGAAAACTGCTATCAAGTTTGCCATCCCCAAGTTTTACTAATCATCCA